ACATAATGTATCAAATCACAGGGTGGAAAACTGATAATTGGAGGCACTGGTCCAGCAGGACCAGTGCCGCTGAGGAAGTACTGGTCCTGGTCAGTAGGCACTGGTCCAGGATTTCTGTCGTAGCAAAGTGAATGACTCGTATGTGGGGACGTTTTTATAGAGGGGGATGGTGCAATTTGGTGTTGTGCATTCTAAGGTATTCTTAGAAATTATATTTTTTACTCGTTTCGATACACTGATGCGTAGTAAATCGGAACAAGTCCGCAAGTCGATTTCAAAGATCAGTGGTCTCTGAAGACCGCCCATTATTTCTATAAATTATCATATTTTATTTTCGCGATTGCTGATTGCTCGGGATGCCCAGTATTATCGAATTAGCAGAAGTTTAACAGCCTGACCTAGAAAATCGAACACAACAAACATGGAGAGTTTGTGTACTTTGCATGGACTTTAGGCTTCGGAATTTGACTATTTTTAGTCTATATTTGATTAAATTTACCATTCATTTCATTAGAATAATGTAGAAGGTTAGTAGAGAATAACAAAATAATCAGTTTGGTTAATTTTTTATTTCCTGTGCGGCAGCCTAAAAATAATTTTTTTTTACGAGAGCTCTTTTTTGATTTTGTATGAAAAAAGAGCTCTCGTAATTTTTTTACGGGAGCTATTTTAGGCTTGGCCAGAGCTACTTTTTTATAGGATGATTTTGTTAAAATTTTTATAATTTTGATGCACTGACTCTAATATCATTAATTAGCATTCAGCACTCAGCACCAGTATCAGACTACAGCAGTGCACCAGATAGCTTGCGTATTTGCGTAAATACGCATGAATTTCATACAAATACGCATGTAATTTTCAAAGGTATGCGTATAGATACGCTTGTGTTTTAATAAATACGTACATGAGAAAACAAACAGATCGTATCAGTACGCTAACCTTCCATCTACTCCCTTATCGGCTCGACTCTCTCGCTAATAGACTGGTAGCTTGGTCGCGGTGCCCCACTCATTAAGTTGGCTATGGCTGCTGTGTGTCAGTACGTGAACCAGTCTATCTACTATCTATCGTGACTGGTTCCTGTGTGTAGTTTATTTTACAAAGCTCTGAAGTTAGAATTCTGGTCGATACTCATACTAAGAAAATATGATGAGTACTGCCAACAAGGAGTACTTATAGGGATCTTGCCGATACTCATACATAAACAAAATGGTGAGTAAATACTCATAAACGCCAAAAATTATCTGGAGCACTGCTACAGTATTAAGAAATTTTCAACAAATTACATTCTATCACATTTTTTTATCGCATTTCACTCGACTAAGAAACCAATCACATTCTTATTCAATTTCTTTCACACAGACAGACATGCACTACACAACACACATAGTCACGTAACATGACAAAGACAGGAAATCAAGAATTATAATCATGGTAATGAATATGATAGTATGGTTATTTTCAAGTTTCTTTTTTTGACTTCATTTCCTTCATCTTTCAACTTTCTTTTTACATTGACTGAGCAAGTTCAGAACTTCAGAGCGTGTTTTTAGTTACTTTGAGTATGTTAAAACAAACTTGTACTGGAATCTCTAGGAATGCCGGTAGCTTCTGGGCAAGGTTTTACTTTAGTTTTTCTCCTCCCCAGTCCACGGTACCCCCATGCATAGATCAATGCTGCCGCACATCCGCAAAGTTACCTGGAATCTAGAATATACAGTTTACATTGCTTCTAGATATCTAACTGAATAAAAATAGTCCACTTTCTACGGTAAGAAAAGTGACGAATTCAGTTAACAGCTTTGATTACGTGCGTGTCAGGTGTCACTGGTCGTGGCCTCTCTCCCCACGATAACCCCTGTGATATAAAAACTTATTGTTATGCGGTCATAAAAACACTGGGCTTGCCGGCGATGTAGCAATCGATTTCTTAGACTGTCGCGAGTTTTTGTTTGTGTGGGAAATCATGCGTTGATGCGTTGATGCGTTGAGTGTGTGGCGATTATCTAGTCGCCCCGCCGGACCAGCTGACACGAGCAAGCAGTCGCCCGGTTGATTTTCTAATCGCCACTGGCGACTGGGCGACCGCTAGTTTCTCACGCTGCACATCCTCCCAAAAGAGTCAACTTCTCTTGATGATATACATGTTTAATTGTTTTGTCATATGTGTGCACTTATTGTTGTCCTCAATGTTTGTGAATTTTCAAAGATGAATAAAAAACTATGCCTCCCTGCATCACTGAGTTCTGTGTGTCTTCATTGGCTTCATTATGTAATGGTTCACTCAAGAACAGATGAATTTGTCTTGAAATCAGTACTGGTGGAGTCTCTCCTCTTGCCAGTGAACAGCACCAGCACCGGACGTCAGATAGTGCTTCAAGTACAGGCGCTGTCTCTTCCCTGCCACGGTGTCCCGGTTACCCCATTGAGGCTCATTCATATCGTGCATCTGCGCATCCTGCCGCCAGGAACCCGGCACCAGGTTGTGGTTGGCATCTTCTCGGTCAATGACCTGGGCATCCCTAGCAGGGTTCCTGTCTATCAGGAAGTTGTGCAGGACAACACATGTCCTGACCACCAACTTGATATTCTCTGGCTGCAGCTGCATGGTGGTCAGCATACACCGGAAGCGGTTGGCCATGATGCCAAAGGCGTTCTCAACCACTCTGCGTGCCCGAGACAACCGGTAGTTGAAGATCAACTCGTCATGCTGGAGTCCACGTCTGCCGAAGGGCTTCATGAGATAGGTGCGGACAGCAAATGCGTCGTCTCCAACTATGTAGTAGGGCACGTCAACATCATCCCCAGGTAGAGGCTCGGGGTCTGGGATGCCAATGACACCGTCATCGATGGATGCTCTCAGTGGTGAATTGTTCCAGATCTGACCATCGGAATTCGACCCAAAGTCTCCAACCTGAACCCACCGGAACTTGTAGTCCGCATCAACCAGGGCCATCAGGACAATTGAGCAGAAACCCTTGTAGTTGAAGTAGGTGGTACCAGATTTGGCGGGCTTCTTGAGAGCAACATGCTTGCCATCAATAGCACCCAAGGCATGTGGGAATTGCCATCTTCCCTGGAACATGGTAGCCAACTTCTTCCACTCTTCTGGTTCTGTAGGGGTCTTTATAACCTCGGCTTCCAGGACATCCAAGATAGCCTGGCACACAGAGGCTACTATGCCTGAGATTCCTGACATGGTGTTGTGTGCAACACGAAAATTGAACCTCAGAGAACGGTAGAACTCTCCGGTGGCCAGGTACCTCAATGTCAGGGCGAGCTTCAATCCCGGACAGATGGGTTGACGAAGTCGGGTGGAGGTCTTGGTGAGCAGCGGCTCAACCCTGGTCTGTAGATCATGGAAGGTTTCCACATCCATCCTGGTGAACTCTTGGAAGGCTTGGGGGTCTTCTAACTCCAGCTCGTACATCAGGGCTTCGTAGTGGCCGTACATGGGTCTACGGAGCAGCCAGGGTCTCGTCTGGCAACACTTGGGGCGCCTCTGCATCTCCTCTTCTTCCTCCAACTCCATGAGGTCTCTAGCATACCCCAATAACTCCACATCATCCTCCATCAACTGGACCACTGCTCTGATGTTAGCCATGTTCACTTCACAAGAATTTCAAAGACACTGGAAGATCATTCCTGGATATAGAACTTATATATTTCTGTCCAATAATAACCTACCATAACCTACCATAACCTACCATAACCTACCATAACCTACCATAACCTACCATAACCTACCCCAACCTACCTCAACCTACCTCAACCTAGCCGAACCTAGCTTACCCAAGTATTAGTGTACCTTAGTGTACCATAACCTACCTTAGTGTACCGGCTGACGTACCTCTACCTACCATTACCTACCATAACCTACCATAACCTACCCTAACACGCTGGAAATTAACCTACCTCAGCGTACCACCATGTACTTTAACGTACCTTAACGTACCGTTACGTATCACAACGTAACAGATGTATGCGTTAGTTTTGGCGGAAGTGTCGATACGCTAGCGATACATAGCGGTACGTATCGGTACGTGTCAGTACGTTAGCCAATACGTTAAGGTACGCTAAGGTACGTTCTGATACGCTACGGTACGTTATCATTAACGCCAGCTAACGTACCCTAATTTTGAGCATGTTCAAAAATTAAATTGGCCGCCACGCTAGATCGACGTTAACTATGCATAAGGGTACGTTAGCCGGTACGTTGTGATACGTTACGCTAGGTTGCAATACGCTGAGGTAGGTTCCAGTACGTTATGGTACGTTACGGTACGTTAACTCCCCGGTACGTTGAGCTAGGTTAAATAGCGCAAGTGAGACCGTAGCATCAGAGGCACTGGTCCTGCTGGACCAGTGCCTCCAATTATCAGTTTTTCACCCTGTTGTGCGTACCGTATTGGTTCTGTAATACGAGGACTAACATGGGTAACCACCGTTGCTCAGGGGAAAATGCTCAGAGACACCTTGTAGAGAAAATCCTGACACTCATATTTACTTAATTCTAAGGATTTGTAACAGAGGTAGTCAAAAGCTTCTGGATATACATTGTTAAGAAATTAAAGTGATTATGTCACTGTAAACAGTAAACGTGAAAATATTATTCACAAAATGAAACAGATTCTGTTCACTTTTTATGCTTCAATTGCTACATTATACTTCCTATTTTTCTATTCTGTTAGATGTCAACAAACACTCGTGACTCAAACATAGCCCATAGCAAGCATTTAATGTCGTGACCATAATATCAAATCGCAGAGGTTTTTTTATTTTTACCTAGTTGAGAAACAATCGTATCAGGTAAGAATTTGAGGATACATATTTAGTCCCATTAGTACTTACTTTTAATGTAAAAAATTACAACAACAT